CACAATCCCAAGGTCATTTCCATGCCCAAATCTGCAGGAAATGGTGGCATGGGAGGTCCACAGGACTTTGCAGCTGTAGCTTGTTTGGAGAACTCGGACCCACACTACAACACAACATATATTCAGGCCCCCACATTTCCCCCTTTACTTTTAGCAATTACACAATTACAATATACATAGAGTTCCAGCTCTCAGCTGCCTTTAAACACACACATAGAATATACATATCCCTATAAAGTCACAGCTCTCAGCTGTTTTTAAACACACACACAAATCCCTGGATGCTCCAAGGCTCTTTTCCTTAAGGCTCTCTGCTGTTACAGCTCCTTCATTCAAAGGCCATGTTATGCTCTACAGTCCCAGCTCTCAGGCTGCCAGGGGGACTCCACACTTTCTCTCGATGTTTGGCTGCGTGTTCTTCCTCACACGGGGTCACCAGTTGTTGTGATCTTCACTGCAGTGTTGTTCTGCTCCATTCTCTGCAGCACAGCCCTTCCTGTCTTCTCAGGGGCTCCCCCTGGGCTCTCAACCCACCCCTATTTATTCCCAGTTACCTTCACGAGCTACAGCTGCTGCCCAACCAAGGACTTTGCAGCTGTGCCTCATTTGGAGCAACTCAGACCCACACTACAACACAACATATATTCAGGCCCCCACATTTCCCCCCTTTACTTTTAGCAATTACACAATTACAATATACATACAGTCCCAGCTCTCAGGCTGCCACAGCTCTCGGCTGTCTTTAAACACACACACAAATCCCTGGATGTTCCAAGGCTCTTTTCCTTAAGGCTTTCTGCTGTTACAGCTCCTTCATTCAAAGGCCATGTTATGTTCTGAAGTCCCAGCTCTCGGCTGTCCAGGGGATTCCACACCTTCTCTCGGTGTTTGGCTGAGTGTTCTTCCTCACACAGGGTCACCAGTTGTTGTGATCTTCACTGCAGTGTTGTTCTGCTCCATTCTCTGCAGCACAGTCCTTCCTGTCTTCTCAGGGGCTTCTCCTGGGCTCTCAACCCACCCCTATTTATTCCCAGTTACCTTCATGAGCTACAGCTGCTGCCCAACTAAGG